TACTACTACTACTACTACTACTACTACTACTACTACTACTACTACTACTACTACTACTACTACTACTTCCACTATTACACTACTACCACCACAACTGCGATTCATCCACAGCAACTACCACCGCCGCCGACACTACTACCACCGCGTCATTAAACGTGTGCGCGCGCGTTTGTATGCGTATTTGCACCATGCGTGCGAGTCTGCGAGTCATGGGTGCGGACGCCCTCCGCGTACCATACGACGGTGCGGGGTGGTGGCGAGTGCGTGCGTTCGTCCGCTTGGCGGCGGTGGCGCGCGCGCGCACGCATTACTACTGTGTTTTGCGTCTGTGTGAGAGCTGGCGGCCGGCGCGCGCGCGTTCGTGCGAGTACGTGCGTGCGAGACTCATGTCCCGAGAGCGCGTATACGCGAGCCCGCGCGCTAGTGTACGACAGTGTGTCAGGTGTTTGTGTGTGCGTGTATCGGTGTGTATGAGTGTATGTGTGTGTGCCGCGTGCGTGTGTGTGTGATTAGAGAGCGATAGCATCGTTCCGTGTGTTACGTACGGTTTTCTCGCCACCGTGGTATTAACTCGTCGAGAGTGTGTTTGTGTGTGTGTGTGTGTGTGTGAGCGCCGCGCGAGCTTTTTGCCCAGGAGCGACTCATCGCCGTCGTCGCCGCAGTTTCGCCGCAGTTGACTGTTTTCCGCGTATGCGTTTTTCACGCGCGCCGCCCGCCGTCGGTTTTTCTCGTTCACACCGCGTCGCCGTCGAACATCATTCGTGTGTGCCGACTGCCGACGCCACCACCGCCGCCGTCGTCGTGTTTATCATCCGGTCGGTCGGTCGCCCGCCCTCCTAACAACAACCGTGACTACAGCCGTCGACACCACATCCATTGCGGTACTTACGTATTGTGTTACCGTGTGTTAAAACGATCAAAAATATAATATCATTATTATATTTGCTTCGACATAGGTACTTACAAATTATTTATCATTTATTATTATTATTATTATTATTATTACTATTATTATTATTATTACTGTTCATTACCTATTACAATATTTGTATCGTTTTCGTGTGGATGTGTGTGTGTGTATGTGTGTGTGCGCGCGTGTATGAGTGCGCGACCGTGTGCATTGTATATTATAATAATATGTTCTTATGCGAGTTGCGAGTGTCGAGTTCGTGTGTTGAGGATTTCATGATTTTGGTTTAATGGTGATAAATGATAATAATATTGTCGTTGTCGTCATCGTGCACCACCGCGGTCCAAATCTATTGCACCCGTTTCGATTTGATATCGATTTACGATTTCACTCCCGAAGGTTGAATGAGACAACCGCGTTTTGCGTTTTCAAATTCTGCGCACGTTTGGTAGTCCGTTCTGTAACAGTCGTTTTAAAATCCTCAGTGGCGCAGCACTGTAGGGTCGGTCGGTCGGTCGCTATCGAAACGTGAACTTGAAATTTTCCGCACACGAAACACGCGCTCGATTTTCGTTTGCCGTGGAGGGTACACGAGATAATAAAGGTTAGTGATGAGCGCTTATCGCCGCGGTGCATAAGTTCATGGCGATTGATTGATGCACTTCTGTTTGTTTTGTGTTTATTAGAAGGATAATAACCGTTTTACGCGCGACATAGACCTATAACACCCCATACCGCTATATGCAACGATATTTGGTTCTCTTGAATTCCACTGAAATTTAATTCGTACAAGTAAAATATAACTATTTAATGCACCCACGCTAGATTACATGTTTGTCATAAATCATAATCATTCAATTGTGTTGCATTTTTCATGTCAACCTGTCTGTTATCAATAATTTACAATGCATAAATCAATACTAAAGTGTGAAAACAGCTCACACATGATCATTTTTATGACAGAATATCACACAAGCCGCTTATCTTGTTTTGAAAATCATTGATTATTTCACGCTGTGCCCACAACTAAACGATCATCCAGTTTTCAACCACATATGGCAGGCCTTAACTGAATGATTATGACTGTTTAAATAAAACGGAAAATAAAACAAATCGTATATAGGCTGCTTTATCTCTGTATAAGGTCTATGAATGGTGCTCAACGACATTAGAATATTGTTTAGTGTCAGTGTTTTTTTCATGCATACCATTGTGTCTATGTACCCATTAGTATATAATTTATAATGTGATCCCCATGGTGGGGGATACAAAGTCGTCTCCCTATCCAATAACACTGTATCACAACTCTGTTATAAAAGAGGCACCTAGGCTCATATTTTTTATTTGGTTGTAGTAGCTATATTGTTTTTATGATGTGACCAACTCTTTGTTGTCATTACTTGTTGATACATTATATTATCACTTTAATCATGTTGTTGCATTAACTCTTGACTTGAAAAATTCTTATTTTTTGTCATCTAGTTTTGTAAATTTTTAAACATATCATAAATATCGACAATTAATATAACAAGGCTGATATTTATTTTAAATGTTGAATTAATATTAAAATAAGTTATAATTACTTATTTTTGAAATTATACAGTTTTTAATGTTTACCTATGTTAAAAATAATTTTTTTTTGTTTTCAGGTTGCAAATTATTGATGTCTGTTTTATCGTTTAAGATAAGATAGCTTTGTAGTATTTCAACTTATAAACTATGAATCGTCTCAATCAGTGATATATTCTTGGATTCATCAAATTTTCATAGTTAATTTTATTCCATGCATAATACTTATTTCAAGTTCTTTATAAAGTCTATAGTATGATAGTTAATTGAATAATAATACTTTAGTCACTACTCTGCATACGGACAATGTTCATTAAATATGCTAGTTTGATTGTATCACAACAGCATCATAAATATCTACAAAACGACGGTCAATCACCACACAGACGTTTTATCATTTCAATACTCAATAACAATCCAAACAAGCTGTCTACCTTCAGGCAAACAGTTGGTTTATACAGTTGTTAACTATAGTAAAAGTTGATCCTTGAAATATAGTTAACAAAATGCGATTATATCAAGAAGAATAATATTAATTAAATAGTAAATGTATATATTATAATTACATTGTGTTTCTGTCGTTTAATTGACAATAGTCACCGAAAATTAATTTGAGCTCTGATTACGTGTAAACAAAAAAGAGGTTTTCGCATTTGCTTATATAGAGCATGTCAAACACGGCGGCTACTGCTTCTAGTGCTGGTAGTACTGCTAGCGGTGGAACTACTGCGTCAACTGGTGCGGCCACAACATTTGTTGACCGCATCGATCCGTTCACAAAGATATCTGTGTTAAAACGCAAAACGAAGCGTTCACAGGGTTCGTCGTCTTCTTCTAGGTACCGTACATGTTCAGACGTCGAATTACAGCCTTTACCATTGTTAAAGGGTGAGTAAGAGTTAACAATACAACTTACTATCAATAATTTATTTTTTAATATTTATGATTTATTTGATCAATATGTTGAAAATAATTAGATTCATATATCTACTTAGTTTATTTATTATTTTATGGTATAAGAAAGTCTATGGATAAATCTACATAATATATTATGTATATAGCTACTAATTTATTATAATTTACCATACTTAAAAAGTTATTTTAAAATACTGAAATATATAACTTGTTTCATTTTAATAGGTACATAAAAATGAAGTAATATTTTAGGTAACTAATATCCTTAAAATATTTATGTATGAGAGTTATGTAGAAAGTAAAGTTAAAATATTTTTTGAAAATCAAATTGTATTTGTACTAGAATATTGTTATTTAATTACTATTCAGATTGTCGAATTTTGGAGGACTGGTACCAGTTTATATTATGGGTGCTCCCTTTAGTAATTTTTAATATTGCTCAAAATCTCTTGAGGATCGATTCTGCAGCCTACTGTGATACAATATCAGATCTATACATTTTATAAATATATGTAATTTTTGGTTTAAAAAAAATATTTCTTTATTTTCTAAATAACCTTTCTACAATTAAAAAAAAGTTATTTGTTAAATAATTTACATATTCTTGGTAGTCAAGGATTTATTAGTCCATTTTTTATCTTATTGAAAATAATAAAACATAATCATAGATTTTTTTATGTAAAGTATTCTAATAAGAATACTGCTTTTTATTGATTGAGATTTTAGACAAAATAAAAAACTTTCGTTTAGATGTGTATAACTCATTCACACTAGTATAAATTTAAATTTGTTTAGTATTATTGAAATATACTTATAAAATTGTTTTTTCATAAATAGGTTAGGTATATATATAAATTATTTAAAGTAAATAGGTCTTACTGGTTTATTGAGTAAAAATTTAAGGTAGCTAAATATTAACTTATTCTTAAAATATAAATGTGTACCCAAATGTATGTATTAAGTTATTATGTTAAATCTATAGTGTAATTTACTGAAAATAAGGAGCATTGAAACTCAAAACTGGCTTAAGATTTTATTAAAATTGTACCTAGCTTAATGGTTAATTACTTAAATAGTACATCCATTTTTTGTTATTATCCAATTGCTTAATTAAAGAAAAAAAGTCTGTGTGTTAGGATTAAATATGAGTTATGAACATAGTTAAGTTTTTAATAATTGTATGTAATTGTGTTTCAATCCAATCAATTACATACACATAGTATAAAATGATTTTAATTTTATTATACATTTATGAAATTTTTTTCCGTAGATGTAACTGCTCAGGAACAAGAAGAGTTAATGATAAGAAAATTGCGACAGTGCTCAGTGCCTTTTGATTTTATGGATCCTATGGCGGAACTCAAGGGAAAGGAAATAAAGCGTGATACACTTAACGAACTGGTTGATTATGTATCTACATCACGGGGTGTATTGACAGAAAATATGTATCCAGAAATCATTAAAATGGTATGAAATATAATTTATACTTATAAAATAGTTTTTTTTTTAAATAATAATTATTATTTTTTATTTATTATGAAAATACAACCAATTAGATCATATTGTAAACAAAAAGGTTTATAATATATAAGACATAAGTAGTCATTAGCCATTTATATGTATTGTGGTTTTCTATCAAAAAATTATTAATTTAACTAATGTATATTATTTTAATTATTAGTTTACTAATACATACTTGTGTTATATTATTGTATAGTTTTTTAGATTAAAAAGATAAATTGGCATTAGTTTCTTTTAAAAAAAATTAGTTTCAATTAAATAGAAAAATATTTAATTTAATATTATTAACCTTCTCTTTTCACTCTAGGATTTGGTTGAGATACTAACATTTTTTATTTTTTGAGGGGTAAAAATGGTGTATAGTTGACGTTTGATTTACTATTAATTGTTTGGTTTTTTGAAATGTCATCATGCATGTAGGAGTTATTTTTTCCTGATATGAAAATCAGTATATATTTATACAACAATTTTTACTTAGATAGTTACATAGTTATGTTGTCTATGTACTTTAAATCATAGATTCTTAATTTTTCAAGGTTTGTGCTTCTCATACTATTGTATGATATGCTCCCTTTCCTCTTAATTACAAAGTTCAAGTATGATTAATATAGAATTTATATTATATATATATGTGTGTTTAATGTCATGAAATTTTAATTTTATATTAAATTATCACACAACCAATATATAAATTAAAAACAAATCTATTAACTGAAACAAAATTATTTTAATATAGCATGAAAGCTAAGATACTATTAATTATTTGTATCTTGTTCAATTTAGAATATCATTAGTTTAATCATATTTATTTACAAGTGTTTTAACTATCAAGTGTTTTAGGAATATGGCTGATGTATATACTATATATATATATATAGAGTATATAATACATATCAATGTTTAAAATTCAACAGTGTTCTTTGAATTATTGAAAATAACGTAATTATTCATTAAAAAATAAAATATAAAATATAAATAATAAGAAATAGCGTTTTCATGTTTGGTGGTTTAAAAAAAAATTCACACCTTCATAGGAGGATGCACCTCCCAGATTGAGAACTATATGCTGATTATTTTATGTCTATATTATGATTACACAAAACACAATTTTCAATAAGTTATTGCTACCACTCAATAATTAGTTATCTTAAACACAAGTTATGGTTATCATGGTTAATGCTGGTTATCATTTTTTCAAAAGTATCCATATTGAATATGATAATAAAATAAAGTGTACAATAACCCTAAACACAGGCAAGGTGATTAATTAGATTTCCTCTGAAACATTAATTTATATCAGTGGCATTAATGAAAAAATTAAATTGAGAAATATTGATTATTATCAACAAACTATATTTATTTAATTAAATAAGGACTAGGCTCAAAGTACAGTAATATGTAAGTACATAATACATACAAGATACATAAAATCAAAATTGTTAAGTGAGATGTTTTATAATAATATCAGTAATATAATAACAAACTGGCTAGGGGTAATTATTTAAATTTATTAAAGATTAATGGAGAAAACTGTTGGTATACTATATATTCTTCAAATAGTGAATATTTTAGCTGTAACCAATTCATTGTTGGTGGCAATAGTCTTAATTTTGCAAGATTAACTATTATTTTAATAATGAACGATTTTAATTCTAAAAAAAATTTTTAATTGCTTGTTTAGATTTCTTCAAATTTATTTAGAACACTGCCACCCAGCGATAATCCAGATTTTGATCCCGAAGAAGATGATCCTACATTAGAAGCATCATGGCCTCATTTAACTGTAAGTATATGTATTTATCGAATAATTTAAACAATAAGAAATAAAAAATAGTTTTTACGTTTTATTTCTTTTAAGTTAAGTTTTTATTAACAATTTAATTTTTAATAAAGATGTTCATTTTTACAACATTTATTTATCTTGATTAATACAAAAGTTCATTAATCATTAAATTTGTTTAATTTTTTTTAGCTTGTTTATGAATTGTTTTTACGCTTTTTGGAATCGCCAGACTTTCAACCAGCCATTGGCAAGAAAGTCATTGATCAGAAATTTGTGTTGCAGGTAATAATGATAACTAATAAGAAAAAAAATATTGAGATACTATTTAGTATTTTATTTTCATATTTTGCACATATCAAGAGTACACTACTGCAAAAAAACTATTTTTTCTATTAATATTCAGTCAATCTCATTTGAATATGTTTAGTTTTCTATAGATACATAGTATAAACCATATATTTTACTTAAAAAATTAATATTGCCCCATGTCATCTGGTTCTACCTTAGAATTTTAAAATACGGTATATAGTTTAGTTTTTTACTACCTATGCAACATAATAATTGTGTCATGTTCAGGATTGTACCATGTAGTAGTAATTAAATTTTTTGGAGAACTAATTTATACCAGTTATGCTTGGTAGACACTAAATTGTCAGTAAAATGTTTTTAACGTGCTCAAAGATAGATTATTTAAATAACATAAGTTGTCATTAATATTGAGATAATAATAAACCTATATTATGCAATTTAAAAGAAAATAAATTAGGTAAATCGATTATTATCTGTTTTAATAATTAGTAATTCTAATAAGTATTAGAATGTTTCAGAGTAAGTTGAACATAAAAATATTTATCTGTAATAATATAGTTTATTTTTTTACAATTCCTATTTAGTTATCTGATGTTAAAATATTAGTAACCAAAATAAGTATTAAAATTTATAAAAGCTAAAATTATTCAAAAAACTAATTTGATGTATTATACAGCTCCTTGAATTATTTGATACGGAGGACCCACGGGAGAGAGACTTTCTCAAGACTGTGTTGCATCGCATTTATGGAAAATTCCTGGGCTTGCGTGCTTTTATTCGCAAGCAAATCAACAATATATTTTTAAGGTTTGTATTTAACTAGAAAACAATTAATAAGTTCTTAAATTATGTATACTTATAACTTATTATTATGAAATTAATAAAAAAATGTGTTATTAGGTTCATTTATGAAACAGAACATTTTAATGGTGTTGGTGAACTATTAGAAATTCTAGGAAGGTAATTCAATACATATTTATCTACTGTTATAATTAATTAGTTATATGTAAATTAACACTTATTAAGAAGTTAATATAAACAAAAAATCTTTTTGTTTTCGTAGCATTATCAATGGGTTTGCACTCCCTTTGAAGAACGAACATAAGCAGTTCCTGGTTAAAGTGCTCATACCTTTGCACAAAGTCAAATGCTTAAGTCTGTATCATGCACAATTAGCATATTGTGTAGTTCAATTTATTGAAAAGGATAGCTCTTTAACAGAATCTGTCATTCGAGGCCTACTCAAGTATTGGCCAAAAACGTGTAGCCTAAAAGAGGTAATGTTATAAATAACTTTAAATACCATTTTAAGAATACTTAAATGAAACTAATATTTATGAACATGCAATTATTTATTTTTGATACTGAAGAGTTAAATGATTTACAGACTTTCTTTAAATAATGAAATAATTTATAGATTTAATTTTTTATTTATTATTGGCGTTTTATTAATGTTTTTTATTTTTTTTTATTTGCATATTAGTGAGTGTCATTAGTAGATAACTTTTCACATCAAGTTTGCCCTGATAATTATTTAATTATTTTAATTGTATATATAATTATTAGAATAAAGTAATTTTTATGCTAATAACATAAACCTGTCGTGCCTAAAGGTACATATTGTTTATTTCAAATAAAAATAATAAAAATTGCATATTAACCTTATTTGAATTTTCATTTCATTTTCATTTCTTGATTTACAGGTCATGTTCCTTGGTGAAATGGAAGAAATACTTGATGTTGTTGAGCCATTACAATTTCAAAAAATTGAAACGCCTCTATTTAAACAAATTGCTCGTTGTGTATCCAGTGCTCACTTTCAGGCATGATAACTTTTATTTCAATTTTTATATTGTGTATTAAATATTAATTAACGTAGTATATCTGCAAACCTAAAAACTTATTTCCAATAGCATGGAGTAGTAGTTTATTTTTTATATTGATTTAGATTTAAAAATCAATTATTTTTTGTATTAACACTATGATTTTGAATCTTGAAATTAAATAAAAGTAATTTAGAATTATAATTTAAGTGAACCTATATTATATATATTTATTTAGTGTTCAATTATTTAAAATTGGTTTCTTAAGTTTAAATAAGATAAATAAAATAAATGATAAAAAATAAAAATATAGATTTAATACTAATAATAAACTATTTTATGAATTAAAAAACTATATACTTCTAAGTTATCAAATATTGATTTTGATTTTGGTACCTAGGGAAAATTAAAATCGGTCATTAGAAGGTGTACTATTTCTAATATATTATTTAATTACAGTTCTAAGCTGTAGTATAAACTATGCAATTTATAAATTATTAATTTATTACTGTTTTTCTTTCACGAATTTGTATTTTTAAATTTAGGTTGCCGAACGAGCGTTATATTTGTGGAACAACGAATACATAATGAGTCTGATAGAAGAAAATAACCAGACAATCATGCCAATTATGTTTCCAGCTTTATACCGCATCAGTAAGGAACATTGGAATCAAACCATTGTAGCATTAGTTTATAATGTACTGAAAACGTTCATGGAAATGAATAGTCAACTTTTCGACGAATTAACTGCTAATTATAAAGCAGAACGACAAAAGTAAAAACTTGACAATAATTCTGTAATCATTTTTTTAATTTTATCATATTTTTGTAGAGAGAAGAAAAAAGAAACTGAACGTGAAGAGTTATGGAAACGATTGGGACAACTAGAAATATCTCATGTCCGCGCTAAACCATCAGCAGCGTCACTAATATCAGTAGATAATAATAACAAGACTAGTAGTAATAATAGTTTGGATTCTGTACAAACAGCAGTAACAACATCAGCAGCACCAATTGCAGCAACACCAATAGCATCATCTCCAATTGCAGCACAACAACAGTAGTAGGAGTGGTAGTAGCAGCGATAATAATTATTTGTTATTCAATAAATACATGTAACCATGTGTATGTACTATCTATATATTTATTTATATACACAGACTTTCATATGTATTGTGTGTGTTATATTTGTATACAGTTAAAGATCAAAACATTAAGATAAAAGTGGTGGCATTTTAAAACAATACAATGAATGTACAGTGTTGTTATCGGTGCATACATGCTGCTCTAGTATGTTGTATATTTTATTTTTAATAGTATTTTTATGGTAATATATGATGGAAATATGCTCCATATAAAAATTATGTTTAAAAAAAATTAATATCTGAGATAAAGAAATTATGGGGAATGTTAATAATTATGGAACATGACACATACTTGAAAGCTCTGTGAATATTTATTTTATGTGTATGAGATTTTGATGAAGAATATAATGTTGGTGAAATTAAGTATGTGATGTAAGACATGTTTACACACATATTTTTATTTTTATTAAATGTATATTATGCGAATTGTTTAATATTATATACTCAAAAATGTGATGTTATCATTGCTATTATTCTATTGATTCACAATAACAATCAACACATGTGTAAACACGTATAACTATGCAAACTGTGGCGTTATAAAAATTTTAATTTTTTAATTTTTAATGTAAATTAATTAGATTTAACCCTCTCCCCTGTGTAAGCGTGTGCGTGTGTAAATAATAATAGATTAATTAAATATTAAAAATTGTTATTTTTTAATAATTATATATATAAATATATTATATAATATATAATGTAAACATTCTTAACTGTTAGCAATGGTAGTAGTAGAAGTGGTAGTAATAGTAATAGTAGTAATAATAATAATAATAATCATAATAATCATAATAATAATAATAATAATAGTAGTGGTATTATTAGTAGGAGTTAAAAAACATTATTAAATAACAAAGTACATATATAACTAATTACATATAATTATCTGTAAATAATTTAATAACTGAGCAATCATTGATCCGATATCTTAATAATGTTATATCATTATTACTAGTATAATTATTGATGTTCATTGAGGTTCCACTGCTGCTACTCATAATTTTTTTTCTTATTGTTGTGCTTTTTTTATGATAAACGAATTGTTTTAAAGATAAAATTTGTTTTAACAGTGTAGTTGTTGATGCTTTAACCTTAACTAATAGTTATTAAAATTAAACTACTGTTGCTGCTACTACTACTACTATTACTATTACTATTACTACTTCTACTACTACTACTATAACTGTTACTATTACTACAACTATTACTACTACTATTATTATTATTATTTATAATTATAAATATTATACGTATATTAACTGTATTTCTCGCGCGCGTTATAGTCTTTATGTAGTTTGTAAATTAATATTGTAACGAAATTATTATTTGTTGTCGTTAATGCGTGTGCGCTCGCGAGAGTTATAAAGTTCTGATATATATATATATATATATATATGTACAAAACTGGAAATTTAAATTTTTAAAGCCAATGAAATTCCGTATAGATAGAAAACATACACTCCATATGTACATATATACACATATGTATTTATCTGTGTGTGTGTGTGTGTGTGTGTGTATTTGTTAAAATGGAAAATATATATTACATAAACACGAAGAAGATACACACAATTATTATATATTACTATATTATTACTATCATTAGATCATTATAATTATCATTGTAATTATATAAATTATAAAATATTATTAAAAAATATTACATTCAAATTTTATTTTATTATTGTTTTACAGTAACCCATTATATGAAGAGGCGAATTATCAAAATTCCTAGTCATTTTTGATAGATGTTAAAATCATTAAATGAGTATTATTTTTGATCAGATTTTTTATTGTAATTTTTAGTAAAATTTAATTAAAGGTTTAAGTTGCATAGGTATTATATATTATCCCAAATTTGTTGCCCTTAATAATAACTGCTTTAAAATGGTTGTTATGATAGTATTTTCAAAATTTATAACACACCTAAAAGATTACACCCCTAATGAATTTTTTTTGACAATTTTCTGTATTGTTATATATTGATATTTAATTGAATATTTATTTTTTATTTTTAAACATTTTTCATCAAATGTATTAAAACAATACGTTTGATTGCATGCTTTTAGTTTCTTACATCTATCGTTTTAGTATTATCAATTATTGAGATTCTTTATTGTTCTATTTTAATATCCAATATTTTCATGATTATTTTTGAAAATTGATGATTATGCACCATGTCACTTGTTTTGAATTAATTTTGTGTGTTAGCTCTAATAAATGTAACCTGTTATCAAACTAAAAATTAAAATTTCATTAAAAACTAATTTTTAAATAAAGATGTTATACTTCATTAACGATTATTTCAAGTTTGATTTTGTTTTATTTTTTATTTTTATTTGATCTTTAGGAAATAAATTTGGTATTTATGGCCATTAGTTACAGTTAGGTTATTTACAATGTACTTCTATATTTTATTTATTTTTTATATTGAGTTGTAGAGATTGGTTGATTTTAATATGGTAATTATTTTGATGTCTGTGTAGTATTGAGGATTGGATCTATTCCAATTTTTTATTGATCTTGCTCGTATTTGAGGGAATAAATTATGATATGTTTCATGGTTTATGTTTGTTTTTAGGTTAAATAATTAGTATTAAAGTTAACTACACATAATTGGTTCTGCTAAAAACAAATTTACCATGTATGTTTGTTTGGTATCACTTATGTGGAAGTATGCGCTCTTAATGTTATAATTATTTACCAAAACATAACTGAGTACATAAAAATTAATAGACTATCAATTTAGTTTTATTAAAATGTAATGACTTGGTATAACGTTAATCTATTTATTGAAACTCCAGTTTTGGATAATTTTTAGTTATGTTAGCAAGTTAGGCGAGGTTAAAATTATTTTATTAAAAGCTAGGTTAGTTGGAAAAAATAAAAATGGTTTTTAAATTGTATTATAATTATTAAAAATATGGTATATAAAGATGTTTACAAAAATATAAATATTTAAAAAATCTTAAAATCTAATGCTTATGGACACGATGACACAATAACAATGATTACTTTTATAATTGTTTTATTTTTATTTTTGGTGAACTTAAACGTCCTAAACAGTAAACACATAAAAAAATAAACAAAAATTTTACATTTTAACAATTAGCTTTTAAGCATTCGTTAATCTGACTCTATTTTATTGTATTTACATCAAAAATATGTCCATGGACCATAATTGAGAAATAAAAAATCACTAAACTAATTATTTTAATTGTGTTTGTTTTACGTACATTGACTGAATCGAAACGGAAAATTATAAAGTGATAAATTAATTTTAACTTTAGTGAAGTCAAGTATTTAGCTAATACCTACTTGATAAACTTTTGATCTTTACACTGTAACTGTATAAACTCGGAATGTTATTTTATTAAGGTCTAATCAATTTTAAACAGCGTCTGTAAGTTCTAAATGAATATTATTGGTTGAGTTTAGGGTTTGTACTTTTAAAAATCAATCCCGAGAAGGAATATTCTTGTTTTGGGAACTCTTAAAAATGCCGACATAGGAAATTATTAAAAATTATCAAAAATAATCGTATTTTCAGTTATTATATACAGCAATATTTCTTAATTGATGTATTTATACATAGGTAATACTATATTATTTTATATACCTTTTAAAATAACTTCAAAAGCTAGGTATTATAATCCTATAATATCCTTATAATACAATATTAGATACCTATAACTTATATAGGATAGTTATTCGTCATTAGAAACATATGCCACGTATACAGTTTTATTTTTATTTTTTAGCAGTAATAAAGAGTAAGTAGAGGTGACTGGGGGCAAACGTAACATGGGTCAATTATAACATGCTGAATATTTTCTTCTACGATGTAGGTACAATAATAAAATTGTCGGTTGTACGTGCGTCATTTGTCCCCCAATTATTGTTATCAGTTTGGCTTTATCATGTTTTGCTAATCAAATAATTAGTAAAAACCTATTTTTAAATTCAGAAGCGAATTTTTTTTTTTTTTATTGGTGTAATTTATTATTTCAAGTGACTTCGTGTAAAACCTCTGGAGATTACGATTATATAATATTATAATAATAAATTAACTTTTCAAGTAAGTTCATTTTTGTTTTCGCATTGATTAAAAAAAACTGTATCAGGCTAATGGTAACAAACAGACTGGGGTCAATTGTATTTAATATTATCCATGAAAGTCGATTAGGTATATTATTTTCAATATAAATATTTTTATTAACATTTCGTATTAATTATTAGACTAGATTTAGTTCACAAAATGCCATAAAAAACGAGAAAAAGCTTGTAATTAGTTAAATATTAATAATAAATTAATTACTATATATTACTTATCATATTATATTTTAGTTAAGATTTTCTTAATACTGAATAGGTAGATAATAATTATACATCATTATGATTTGAGTCTAGTTTGGTTACATCTACCTATATGTCATGGTAATCAGGTTTGATTTTTAATTTAGTTAGACATATATAATTAATAATTATATTAATATCATTGAAAAACGGAATTAAGATAATATGTGTAACATATATTTCCAGAGTCTAGGAAAATTATAACATTTTTTTTTTCAAATTAAAAATATTTATTATTGTTTAGATTGATATTTAAGAAGCTTGTTATTGTAATATAATTGAATAGCTTTATTAAATGATAAAAGAAAATGATAAAAACCAAAAATCTGTACAACAATTTATTAAAAATAGAAAAAGTGTAAATTTTATTGTTAGGTTTTCCTAACAGGTTATCTATAAGACTAAATTGTAATATAGATAATAATATGCTACTCAACTACTGATGAAACCTTTTTAGGTGTAATTTTTAGATTTTGAATTATTATATATTATATATATTTAAAATTGGAAATTTTAAAAATTTTAAAACAATCCCAAGAAGTAAGAAGAGTTTGTTGGAATGG